GGGCTCCGTTCACGTTGTGGTGCGTGGGGGGGGGAGGGGGCGGCTGTGGATTTAGGAGGCTTATTCATTCAACCACTCACCCACTAAAGCAGGGGTGGGCACATTTTTTGACTCGCGGGCCACAATGGGTTCTAAAATTTGACAAGAGGGCGCCGGGCCAGGAACAGATGGATGGAGTGTTTGTGTGAACTATTAATAAATGACGTGTTAAAAATCATTACATGAAAGGATTTGGCCTTTAACAGGTAGCAAAGCATTTATTTGCAAGGCAAAGTGCGCCATCTAATGGGGAAATGGGGGCATTACAGGAGAAAGGTAACATTTAATTGAATAATAATAATATTTGGACAAGTTCGACTGCACTGAACCATTCACTCACCCAGCTATTCACCTACTCACCCACTCCCTCATGCACCAACTTATCCACCCAACCAATCACCAGGACCCTATTATCCAATAGGCCACAGTCGGAACTGTGGCTAGGGGCTCCCCTCTTCCCCCCCCCCCCCCTCTCTCCTCTCCCAACTTAACAAACGGATGTCCGATTCAAGTTTCATATTTATTTATTTATTTTAGCTTGGAACAATTCGAAAAAAAGTAAAAACCGCAAATCACGACGAGGGGCAGGAGAGATTGGCTCTCATCATAATCATCAATGGAACAGCAACAACAACAACAACGGACGGTTAATCGTTTGAACAATAACAAATGTTAAATCGGCGTGCATGGTCATCCAACGCGCTTGAAAACCGGTTACAGGTGGCCCCTCCCCTCCCCCCCCAACCGCTATGACGTCACAATGCGTTCCTGGAAATGGAGAGAGAGAGAGAGAGGATCGAGCAGAAGGTGGAGAGAGCGCAGAGAGGGGGAGCTTGAAATGAACCAAAGGAGGAGCGAGAAAGAGAGGGAGTGGATTGAGGTGGAGAGAGAGAGAGAATGGGAGAAAGCATGGATTGAACCAACGGAGATGGAGCAAGAGAGAGCGAGAGAGAGTGTGGATTGAGAATACTCAACAACTAACTCTTGTTTTAAAACCCTTCTAGGTTTGCCATGGACTACCAAAGTGCCCAAGCTACGGGCAAGTACTTCACATTCAGGGGTCCCTGGAGTTGGACCAGCTGGAACACCTGGGAGGTGAGGGGCACCGAATGGACCTCGAGGAGGCCAAGCGGGGGGGGGGGGACCCACCACTCCCAAAAAAAAAAGATTGACAATATTGGAAAGGCTCCTGGAGCTAATAAAAAAAATGTCACGGGCACGCTCCGAAAGAATCCAGCCGGCCTATCGGGTCAGATTGAAGATGGGAGGGGAACATATTTTCCTGAGGAGGCGATCCATCAAAACTCGTAGCGCCCGATGGATCAGATGTGTTACAGCACGACAGAACTGGCCTTGATTTAAAAAGAAGACGGAAGCTTGTGTCGCCTCCGAAACGTCGTGATTTAATTTAGTTGTTTTTTATTTTCATTATACCTACGTGACTTTACCGAAAAAAACCCCCAAAAAGTATAAAGCATTGACAGATAACGTACTCTGGTTCTTTCGGTAAAGTCACGCAGATAGAAAAAAATACAAAAGAAAACGCGTTTTGGTCGCAACACAAGCGTCCGTCTTCAGGTGAGAAAAATGATCTGCTGTCGTGTGTCGTGGCTTTCTATTAGGCACGGGGGGGGGGGGGTGGGGGTGGTTGTGGCGTGCATGGACGGGTGGGGCTGGAGAAAATAGCAAGTAAATGGACTTGGATTAGTAAAATAGTAAAATCGGACAACAGGACAACGGGTGGACGAGCAAAGATCACGGCAGTTAAAACGCGACGCGGTTTATTATTGCATCCTTCCAACGATTGCTCAGTCTGAATCCATGTTCTTGATTAAAGTTTTGTCTGCGTTGATACATCCGGACGGCTTCATGAACAAATCTCACAGTGGCCCGAGTGTTTGCAGAGCAACTTGGTCTCGGAGACAACAATGCCACGCGGTGCCCACAGCGCTGAGACAGTGATGATCCGCCACCGCCGAGGGAGGAGTTGGTTCTGCCGTGTTTAAAAACTCTGCTTTGTGTTCGCGAACCCGGTCCGAGACACGTCGCTTCGTTTCAATGCAACCGCTGCCGCGGACGCAACTCGGCTTCTAGACACCGGGAGACACTGCATGCCCGGAATCGCATCCTTCACCGATGGGATAAAAAAAAATTACGGCTTTTGCGTACCGTATTGAACCGAACTTGGATCTTGTGTTTACGATTTTGGCAATCCTTTCGGTAAACCCTGCTATGTATGGACACCGGGTCGCAGCTGGGGTCCTGGCTCTGCCACTTGGACGAGGGCAGTCACGGGCCGGTGCTCGTGCGAGGTCGGCTGGCCACCGTCCGACTTTCAGGACGTGCAAAAGTTCCTGAACGTCAATCCTGCACCGGCCAGGCGCGTCATGGCACCCTTCCTCCTGAAACAGCACAGGGGGTCTGCAGTGCTCCAAACAACTATTCTACTGGGACCTCTGCAGGGCCTCCTACCCGAGACAGCTGCCACCTTTCTACCAGGACGTGGAGCTCCCTCGCGCGGTCAGGAGGCCGGACCAGCCGCGATCGGCTGAGGATCTGGTCTTCGAACCGATTCTCACGAACCCGCAGACAAAAGCTGCCATCCACCACCACCACCACCACCATTGCCCCCCCCCCCCCCGGCATGGAGAGGCGCCTTGCCAACGCGCATCTCACCAGGATCGGGGAGCAGCTGGGGCATCAGCAGCGGCTGGGACTAAGATACCAGGTGGGCCAAGCCCAGGCCCTGTGGGAAAAGGCTGCATCCCTCCTACCGCAGGGCCCTGGTGCCCAAACGACGTAGCGACAGAACGCGGCAGAACTCTGCCCCCCCCACCCCTCCCTCTTGAACGCGCTGCACCGCGTTCTGGGAGACGGTGGGGGGCAGGCTGCGGGGGGGGGGGGGGGGGGAGGGGGCATCAAGATGGCAGCCGGCCACTTTGGCAGCGGCACAGTTAGAGGGGGTCGCCGATGGAGCCCTGCCATCCTCCTCCACATATGCCAGCAGCACCACCACCACGGAGAGTCGACGGACCAAAAGACGTTGTGGTGGTGATGGCGGTATTACCGGTAGGAAACGTAGGTTGACTGGAAGCCCAACCGGGGTTAATTCTCACAGGAGGCAGGGGATTAATTGTGGATGTCTGTGGATGTCTGTCCACGTCGGAGGGGAGGGTGGGTAGGGGCGGGTAGGGAGGGGCTGGTCACCCCGTGGTGCCCTTATATGGACTGGAAGCCCAACCGGGATTAATTCTCACAGGAGGCAGGGGATTGTAACCCTGCACTGTCTGGTGCGACCTCTTTTTACACGGCAACTTTATGGCGTCGTTTTGTAATTTCCGCTCACTTTTCATTTTGCCTTCTTCTGCGCACGACCCCTAACAAGTTTGGCCTAAATATCCGTACATAATTGCTTCAAAGTTTCATACCAGCCCCCTCCGCAGGAATGTGTTACTGGTGGTGGCCGTGGCGATGGTGGTGGGATGTAGCGGCGAGCGACCGAGTGAGCCCATGACTGTGGTAGAAAATTGATTTGCGGTCGTAAAAAAATCACATTACAGAGTCTTTAAAACGTGAGAGGGAGAAGCGGATAGAGAGATGAAGAGAGGAGGGAGTGGCAGCTCGTTAAGTGTGGGTAGGGGTGGGGGTTAGAGTAACAATTCCCTTAGCCAATCAGCGACGTCCATCACCCCCCCCCCCCCCACACACACACACACCTGCGAGACGTCTTAAGACATCGGCTGGGCCCTCTGTCTAACTTAATAAATTAATTACGTAATCATCAAACCGCACGCGATTCTGATATTTGATCGACGGCGACTTTGTCGGCGGACTTATTTATTTACCTCCCCCACTCCTCCTCCCTCCCTTTGCAGTGAGACTGGGTTAAACACGCGTTGACCCGAAGGGACTTAGTGCACATCTCTGTAGGATGCGTTGTGATTCCAGTTGCGTGGGGTGGAGGGGAATGGATGGCGTGCGAGGGAAGGCGATGGGAGGGAGAGCGGAAGGGAGAGGATGGTGAGAGTGGCTGAGCACGAGAGCAAGTGACTGAGCGTGCGAGTGAATGAGCATGAAAGTGAATGAGTGGATGAGCGTGCGAGTGAATGAGTGACTGAGCGTGCGAGTGAATGATGATTAAAGTGAATGAGTGAATGAGCGTGCGAGTGAATGATGATTAAAGTGAATGAGTGACTGAGCGTGCGAGTGAATGAGCATGAAAGTGAATGAGTGAATGAGCGTGTGAGTGAATGATGATTAAAGTGAATGAGTGACTGAGCGTGCGAGTGAATGATCATTAAAGTGAATGAGTGAATGAGCGTGCGAGTGAATGATCATTAAAGTGAATGAGGGCATGAGCGTGCGAGTGAATGATCATTAAAGTGAATGAGTGGATGAGCGTGCGAGTGAATGATCATTAAAGTGAATGAGTGGATGAGTGTGCGAGTGAATGATCATTAAAGTGAATGAGTGGATGAGGGTGCGATTGAATGATCATTAAAGTGAATGAGTGGATGAGCGTGCGAGTGAATGAGCATGAAAGTGAATGAGTGAATGAGCGTGCGAGTGAATGAGCATGAAAGTGAATGAGTGGATAAGCGTGCGAGTGAATGATCATTAAAGTGAATGAGTGACTGAGCGTGCGAGTGAATGAGCATGAAAGTGAATGAGTGGATGAGCGTGCGAGTGAATGAGCATGAAAGTGAATGAGTGACTGAGCGTGCGAGTGAATGATCATTAAAGTGAATGAGTGAATGAGCGTGCGAGTGAATGAGCATGAAAGTGAATGAGTGAATGAGCGTGTGAGTGAATGATGATTAAAGTGAATGAGTGAATGAGCGTGCGAGTGAATGATCATGAAAGTGGATGAGTGAATGTGCGAGTGAATGATCATTAAAGTGAATGAGTGAATGAGCGTGCGAGTGAATGATGATTAAAGTGAATGAGTGACTGAGCGTGCGAGTGAATGAGCATGAACGCGAATGAGTGAATGAGCGTGCGAGTGAATGAGCATGAAAGCGAATGAGGGAATGAGCGTGCGAGTGAATGAGCATGAAAGCGAATGAGGGAATGAGCATGCGGGTGAATGAGCAAATGACTGTGAGAGCATGAGGGTGAATGAGCGCGCGAGCAAATGAGTGTAAGAGTGAATGAGCACACGAGTGAATGAGTGAATGAGCGTGCGAGTGAATGAGCATGAAAGTGAACGAGGGGGCGAGCGAATGAGCACGCGAGTGGATGACCAAATGACTGTGAGAGCATGAGAGTGAATGAGCGCGCGAGCGAATGAGCACGCGAGCGAATGAGCGAATGAGTGCAAGAGTGAATGAGCGAGCGAGCGGACGAGTAGGCGAACGGGCGAGCGAGCGGGCGAGCGGGCGAGCGGGCGAGCGGGCGAACGAGCGGGCGGCTCATAGCGCCGTGGTGAAGCCCTCGTCCCGACTCCGCTTCGTCGGCGACGATGCAGCCGCAGCCGCTGCCGCCGGCGAGGAGGAGGAGGAGGAGACGCTCCCAGTCCGAGCCGCTCCCTTGACCCCATCGCTGGGCTCGGCGGCGGAGGAGGAGGAGGAGGAGTTGGAGTTGCCGTAGACCGGGACGGCGGTGGCGCCGAGGGGAGCGTAGCGTCCCGTGCGGTGTTCGGCAAGCCGGGGACCCCAGCCTGGCTCGCTCCTGCAGATGGCTTTCAATCGCTGACACGCACACACGAGCAAACACACAAACAAACAGATGCGAAGATCGGCCCGCATAGCCTCAAGAGACTGTTGGGGCGCCTGTGGAAGACGGCACGGCACACGAGAGGGGGTGGGTGGCCAGCGCCACGCCCGGCCGCACTTTTGCCGTCTCCACGTGGCACCAGGTGCCTAATTTGAGGCCGAGTCGACCTAGGGGGAGGCCCAGGACCGGTTCAAATGACCGCCACCGGTGTTGGCCGCGAGGGGGGAATCGAAGCCGGGTGGCCCGGTTCAACAGCGCATCGCTAACCGCCAATGGCGGAGCCAGAATTGTCAGGTGGAGGGGGAAGGTGGGCCAGCCCCTCTCCAGCAATGAAACATCAGAGGAGTTGTTAGTGAGTAAGGAGTTGTTAGCAAGGAGTTGTTAGTAAGGAGTTGTTAGTAAGTAAGGAGTTGTTAGTAAGTTGTTGGTAAGGAGTTGTTAGTAAGGAGTTGTTAGTAAGGAGTTGTTAGTAAGGAGTTGTTAGTAAGGAGTTGTTAGTAAGGAGTTGTTAGTAAGGAGTTGTTAGCGAGTAAGGAGTTGTTAGTAAGGAGTTGTTAGTAAGGAGTTGTTAGTAAGGAGTTGCTAGTAAGTAAGGAGTTGTTAGTAAGGAGTTGTTGGTAAGGAGTTGTTAGTAAGGAGGTGTTAGTAAGGAGTTGTTAGTGAGGAGTTGATAGTGAGCAAGGAGTTGTTAGTAAGGAGTTGTTAGTAAGGAGTTGTTAGTGAGCAAGGAGTTGTTGGTAAGGAGTTGTTAGTAAGGAGTTGTTAGTAAGGAGTTGTTAGCGAGTAAGAGGTTGTTAGTAAGGAGTTGTTAGTAAGGAGTTGTTAGTGAGTAAGGAGTTGTTAGTAAGGAGTTGTTAGTAATGAGTTGTTAGTGAGTAAGGAGTTGTTAGTAAGGAGTTGTTAGTAAGGAGTTGTTAGTAAGGAGTTGTTAGTAAGGAGTTGTTAGTGAGTAAGGAGTTGTTAGTAAGGAGTTGTTAGTAAGGAGTTGTTAGTGAGTAAGGAGTTGTTAGTAAGGAGTTGTTAGTGAGTAAGGAGTTGTTAGTAAGGAGTTGTTAGTAAGGAGTTATTAGTAAGGAGTTGTTAGTAAGGAGTTGTTAGTGAGTAAGGAGTTGTTAGTAAGGAGTTGTTAGTAAGGAGTTGCTAGTAAGGAGTTGTTAGTGAGTAAGGAGTTGTTAGTAAGGAGTTGTTAGTGAGTAATGAGTTGTTAGTGAGTAAGGAGTTGTTAGTAAGGAGTTATTAGTAAGGAGTTGTTAGTAAGGAGTTGTTAGTGAGTAAGGAGTTGTTAGTAAGGAGTTGTTAGCAAGGAGTTGTTAGTAAGGAGTTGTTAGCAAGGAGTTGTTAGTAAGGAGTTGCTAGTGAGTAAGGAGTTGTTAGTGAGTAAGGAGTTGTTAGTAAGGAGTTGTTAGTAAGGAGTCGTTAGTAAGGAGTTGTTAGCGAGTAAAAAGTTGTTAGTAAGGCGTTGTTAGTAAGGAGTTGTTAGTAAGGAGTTGTTAGTAAGGAGTTGTTAGTAAGGAGTTGTTAGCGAGTAAGGAGTTGTTAGTAAAGAGTTGTTAGCAAGGAGTTGTTAGTAAGGAGTTGTTAGTGAGTAAGGAGTTGTTAGTAAGGAGTTGTTAGTAAGGAGTTGCTAGTAAGGAGTTGTTAGTGAGTAAGGAGTTGTTAGTAAGTTGTTGGTAAGGAGTTGTTAGTAAGGAGTTGTTAGTAAGGAGTTGTTAGTAAGGAGTTGTTAGTAAGGAGTTGTTAGTAAGGAGTTGTTAGTAAGGAGTTGTTAGTAAGGAGTTGTTAGTAAGGAGTTGTTAGCGAGTAAGGGGTTGTTAGTAAGGAGTTGTTAGTAAGGAGTTGTTAGTAAGGAGTTGCTAGTAAGTAAGGAGTTGTTAGTAAGGAGTTGTTGGTAAGGAGTTGTTAGTAAGGAGGTGTTAGTAAGGAGTTGTTAGTGAGGAGTTGTTGGTAAGGAGTTGATAGTGAGCAAGGAGTTGTTAGTAAGGAGTTGTTAGTAAGGAGTTGTTAGTGAGCAAGGAGTTGTTAGTAAGGAGTTGTTGGTAAGGAGTTGTTAGTAAGGAGTTGTTAGTAAGGAGTTGTTAGCGAGTAAGAGGTTGTTAGTAAGGAGTTGTTAGTAAGGAGTTGTTAGTGAGTAAGGAGTTGTTAGTAAGGAGTTGTTAGTAAGGAGTTGTTAGTGAGTAAGGAGTTGTTAGTAAGGAGTTGTTAGTAATGAGTTGTTAGTGAGTAAGGAGTTGTTAGTAAGGAGTTGTTAGTAAGGAGTTGTTAGTAAGGAGTTGTTAGTAAGGAGTTGTTAGTGAGTAAGGAGTTGTTAGTAAGGAGTTGTTAGTAAGGAGTTGTTAGTGAGTAAGGAGTTGTTAGTAAGGAGTTGTTAGTGAGTAAGGAGTTGTTAGTAAGGAGTTGTTAGTAAGGAGTTGTTAGTAAGGAGTTGTTAGCGAGTAAGGAGTTGTTAGTAAGTAAGGAGTTTTTAGTATTTTATTATTTTGTTGTTTCTCTTCAACGTGACTTTACCGAAAAAACTAAGAATATGATTAAGGAGTTGTTAGTGAGTAAGGAGTTGTTAGTGAGTAAGGAGTTGTTAGTGAGTAAGGAGTTGTTAGTGAGTAAGGAGTTGTTAGTAAGTAAGGAGTTGTTAGTGAGTAAGGAGTTGTTAGTGAGTAAGGAGTTGTTAGTGAGTAAGGAGTTGTTAGTGAGTAAGGAGTTGTTAGTAAAGAGTTGTTAGTAAGTAAGGAGTTGCTAGTGAGTAAGGAGTTGTTAGTGAGTAAGGAGTTGTTAGTGAGTAAGGAGTTGTTAGTGAGTAAGGAGTTGCTAGTGAGTAAGGAGTTGTTAGTGAGTAAGGAGTTGCTAGTGAGTAAGGAGTTGTTAGTGAGTAAGGAGTTGTTAGTAAGTAAGGAGTTGTTAGTAAGGAGTTGTTAGTAAGGAGTTTTTAGTGAGTAAGGAGTTGTTAGTGAGTAAGGAGTTGTTAGTGAGTAAGGAGTTGCTAGTGAGTAAGGAGTTGTTAGTAAAACAATGAAAAAAATTCTCACGACGTTTCGACCATAACACAAACGGTCATCATCACCTGATGACGACCGTTTGTGTTATGGTCGAAACGTCGTGAGAATTTTTGTTATTGTTTTATATATATATTTTATTATTTTATTGTTTCCCTTCAACGTGACTTTACCGAAAGAGCTAAGAATATGAATCACTGCAGTCACGAAAGCTTTAAATCGAAGTTTGGTAGCTTTTGGTGCTTCTCATGTGAAAACTAAAAATCGTTAAACAATTTTTTCAGCCCCCAACCCCCCATCACTTCCTGTACCTCCCAAGGCCCCCCAGTGGCCCGTGTCATCTTCCAGGCGGCGATGACGGGGATCCACACGAGGCTGAAGGAGATCATGCACCAGCCGAGTGCCACCGACCAGCCCGGGTAGATGACGTCGCCGTAGCTGGGCGCCGTGAAGGTGACCAGCGACCACACCAGGATGGCCTGCGTGGTGATGGGATGGGTGGGAGGGAGGGGTGAGTGTTGTCTAAGGCTCCGAGAGGATTGTCGTTGGGGAATGGTGGGTCGCTTCATCGTGCGGGGGAAAGAGGCACAGTCGGTGGGTTGCTGGGTGTGTCGGTGGGCGGGCGAGTCGATGGGTGGGTGGATGGATTGGTGAGTGGGCGAGTCGATGGGTGGGTGAATTTGGTGAGTGGGTAAGCCGATGGGTGGGTGGATGAATTGGTGAGTGGGTGAGTCGATGGGTGGGTGGATGGATTGGTGGGTGGGCGAGTCGATGGGTGGGTGGATGAATTGGTGAGTTTGCGAGTCGATGGGTGGGTGGATGGATTGGTGAGTGGGTGAGACGATGGGTGGGTGGATGGATTGGTGAGTGGGCGAGTCGATGGGTGGGTGAATTTGGTGAGTGGGTAAGCCGATGGGTGGGTGGATGAATTGGTGAGTGGGCGAGTCGATGGGTGGGTGGATGAATTGGTGAGTGGGCGAGTCGATGGGTGGGTGGATGAATTGGTGAGTGGGCGAGTCGATGGGTGGGTGAATTTGGTGAGTGGGTAAGCCGATGGGTGGGTGGATGAATTGGTGAGTGGGTGAGTCGATGGGTGGGTGGATGGATTGGTGGGTGGGTGAGTCGATGGGTGGGTGGATGAATTGGTGAGTGGGCGAGTCGATGGGTGGGTGGATGGATTGATTAGTGGGCGAGTCGAAGGGTGGGTGGATGAATTGGTTAGTGGGCGAGTCGAAGGGTGGGGGGATGAATTGATTAGTGGCCGAGTCGATGGGTGGGTGAATTGGTGAGTGGGCGAGTCGATGGGTGGGTGGATGAATTGGTGAGTGGGTGAGCCGATGGTTGGGTGGGTGAGTCGATGGGTGGGTGGATGAATTGGTGAGTGGGCGAGTCGATGGGTGGGTGGATGAATTGATTAGTGGGTGAGTCGATGAGTGGGTGGATGGATTGGTGAGTGGGCGAGTCGATGGGTGGGTGGATGGATTGGTGAGTGGGTGAGTCGATGGGTGGGTGGATGGATTGGTGAGTGGGTGAGTCGATGGGTGGGTGGATGGATTGGTGAGTGGGCGAGTCGATGGGTGGGTGGATGGATTGGTGAGTGGGTGAGTCGATGGGTGGGTGGATGGATTGGTGAGTGGGTGAGTCAATGGGTGGGTGGATGGATTGGTTAGTGGGCGAGTCGATGGCTGGGTGGATGAATTGGTGAGTGGGTGAGTCGATGGGTGGGTGGATGGATTGGTGGGTGGGTGAGTCGATGGGTGGGTGGATGAATTGGTGAGTGGGCGAGTCGATGGGTGGGTGGATGGATTGATTAGTGGGCGAGTCGAAGGGTGGGTGGATGAATTGGTTAGTGGGCGAGTCGAAGGGTGGGGGGATGAATTGATTAGTGGCCGAGTCGATGGGTGGGTGAATTGGTGAGTGGGCGAGTCGATGGGTGGGTGGATGAATTGGTGAGTGGGTGAGCCGATGGTTGGGTGGGTGAGTCGATGGGTGGGTGGATGAATTGGTGAGTGGGCGAGTCGATGGGTGGGTGGATGAATTGATTAGTGGGTGAGTCGATGAGTGGGTGGATGGATTGGTGAGTGGGCGAGTCGATGGGTGGGTGGATGGATTGGTGAGTGGGTGAGTCGATGGGTGGGTGGATGGATTGGTGAGTGGGTGAGTCGATGGGTGGGTGGATGGATTGGTGAGTGGGCGAGTCGATGGGTGGGTGGATGGATTGGTGAGTGGGTGAGTCGATGGGTGGGTGGATGGATTGGTGAGTGGGTGAGTCAATGGGTGGGTGGATGGATTGGTTAGTGGGCGAGTCAATGGGTGGGTGGATGAATTGGTTAGTGGGCGAGTCGATGGGTGGGTGGATGAATTGGTGAGTGGGCGAGTCGATGGGTGGGTGGATGAATTGGTGAGTGGGCGAGTCGATGGGTGGGTGGATGAATTGGTGAGTTGGGTGAGCCGATGGGTGGGTGGGCGAGTCGATGGCTGGGTGGATGAATTGGTTAGTGGGCGAGCCGATGGGTGGGTGGATGAATTGGTGAGTGGGCGAGTCGATGGGTGGGTGGATGAATTGATTAGTGGGTGAGTCGATGGGTGGGTGGATGGATTGGTGAGTGGGCGAGTCGATGGGTGGGTGGATGGATTGGTGAGTGGGTGAGTCGATGGGTGGGTGGATGGATTGGTGAGTGGGTGAGTCGATGGGTGGGTGGATGGATTGGTGAGTGGGCGAGTCGATGGGTGGGTGGATGGATTGGTGAGTGGGTGAGTCGATGGGTGGGTGGATGGATTGGTGAGTGGGTGAGTCGATGGGTGGGTGGATGGATTGGTTAGTGGGCGAGTCAATGGGTGGGTGGATGAATTGGTTAGTGGGCGAGTCGATGGGTGGGTGGATGAATTGGTGAGTGGGCGAGTCGATGGGTGGGTGGATGAATTGGTGAGTGGGTGAGCCGATGGTTGGGTGGGCGAGTCGATGGGTGGGTGGATGAATTGGTGAGTGGGCGAGTCGATGGGTGGGTGGATGAATTGATTAGTGGGTGAGTCGATGGGTGGGTGGATGGATTGGTGAGTGGGCGAGTCGATGGGTGGGTGGATGGATTGGTGAGTGGGTGAGTCGATGGGTGGGTGGATGGATTGGTGAGGGGGTGAGTCGATGGGTGGGTGGATGGATTGGTGAGTGGGCGAGTCGATGGGTGGGTGGATGGATTGGTGAGTGGGTGAGTCGATGGGTGGGTGGATGGATTGGTGAGTGGGTGAGTCGATGGGTGGGTGGATGGATTGGTTAGTGGGCGAGTCAATGGGTGGGTGGATGAATTGGTTAGTGGGCGAGTCGATGGGTGGGTGGATGAATTGGTGAGTGGGCGAGTCGATGGGTGGGTGGATGAATTGGTGAGTTGGGTGAGCCGATGGGTGGGTGGGCGAGTCGATGGGTGGGTGGATGAATTGGTTAGTGGGCGAGCCGATGGGTGGGTGGATGAATTGGTGAGTGGGCGAGTCGATGGGTGGGTGGATGAATTGATTAGTGGGTGAGTCGATGGGTGGGTGGATGGATTGGTGAGTGGGCGAGTCGATGGGTGGGTGGATGGATTGGTGAGTGGGTGAGTCGATGGGTGGGTGGATGGATTGGTGGGTGGGTGAGTCGATGGGTGGGTGGATGGATTGGTGAGTGGGCGAGTCGATGGGTGGGTGGATGGATTGGTGAGTGGGTGAGTCGATGGGTGGGTGGATGGATTGGTGAGTGGGTGAGTCGATGGGTGGGTGGATGGATTGGTTAGTGGGCGAGTCAATGGGTGGGTGGATGAATTGGTTAGTGGGCGAGTCGATGGGTGGGTGGATGAATTGGTGAGTGGGCGAGTCGATGGGTGGGTGGATGAATTGGTGAGTGGGCGAGTCGATGGGTGGGTGGATGGATTGGTGAGTGGGTGAGCCGATGGGTGGGTGGGCGAGTCGATGGGTGGGTGGATGAATTGGTTAGTGGGTGAGTCGATGGGTGGGTGGGCCAGTCGATGGGTGGGTGGATGAATTGGTGAGTGGGCGAGTCGATGGGTGGGTGGATGAATTTGTTAGTGGGCCAGTCGGTGGGCAAGTTAGAGGGTGGGCGAGTCGGTAAGTGGGTGGGTCGGTGGGCAAGTTGGTGGGTACCTCTCTGGGTGGATGCATGTGCTGTGTGCACGTGTGTGTTGTGTTGTGTGCGTTGTGTTGTGTGCACGTGTGTGTTGTGTTGTGTGCACGTGTGTTGTGTTGTGTGCACGTGTGTGTTGTGTTGTGTTGTGTGCACGTGTGTTGTGTTGTGTGCACGTGTGTGTTGTGTTGTGTGCGTTGTGTTGTGTTGTGTGCACGTGTGTGTTGTGTTGTGTGCACGTGTGTGTGTGTGTTGTGTTGTGTGCACGTGTGCGTTGTGTTATGTGCACGTGTGCGTTGTGTTGTGTGCGTTGTGTTGTGTGCACGTGTGCGTTGTGTGCACGTGTGTGTTGTGTTGTGTGCACGTGTGTGTTGTGTTGTGTGCACGTGTGCGTTGTGTGTGTTGTGTTGTGTGCACGTGTGCGTTGTGTTGTGTGCACGTGTGCGTTGTGTTGTGTGTGTTGTGTGCACGTGTGTGTTGTGTTGTGTGCACGTGTGTGTTGTGTGTGTTGTGTTGTGTGCACGTGTGCGTTGTGTGCACGTGTGCGTTGTGTTGTGTTGTGTGCACGTGTGCGTTGTGTGCACGTGTGCGTTGTGCGACGAGCGCCGTGCCGTTGGACGTACGATGAGCAGCAGGGGCGAGATGACGAACCAGCAGGCGCGCCACCAGAGCCAGAAGAGGAACGACTTCTTGCCGATCATCATCTCGATGTCGCTGATGAATCTATTCCCTCCTGGAGGGAGGGGAGTGGGGGGGGGGGAGATTTGGGGCAGCGGTGGTGACGGGAGTCAAGGGTGGGGGGGGTCTCATCTGGTGATGTGTCGCCATGACGACAACAATGACGGCGACGTTAAGTGACAATGATGCAGCTCCTCGCCACCCACCAACAGGTAAAAGGGAGTGAGATGGAACAAATGGAGATTAGTCCACACACGGGCAGAAGGGAGCGAGATGGAACAGATGGAGATTAGTCCACACTGCTGTAGGAGGGAGCGAGATGGAACAGATGGAGATTAGTCCACACACGCTCTGCTGTAGGAGCGAGCGAGATGGAACAGATGGAGATTAGTCCACACTGCTGTAGGAGGGAGCGAGATGGAACAGATTGAGATTGGTCCACACTGCTGTAGGAGGGAGCGAGATGGCACAGATGGAGATTAGTCCACACACTCTCTGCTGTAGGATGGAGCGAGATTGAACAGATGGAGATTAGTCCACACACGCTCTGCTGTAGGAGGGAGCGAGATGGAACAGATGGAGATTAGTCCACACACGCTCTGCTGTAGGAGCGAGCGAGATGGAACAGATGGAGATTAGTCCACACACTCTCTGCTGTAGGAGGGAGCGAGATGGAACAGATGGAGATTAGTCCACACTGCTGTAGGAGGGAACGAGAAGGAACAGATGGAGATTAATCCACACTGCTGTAGGAGGGAGCGAGATGGAACAGATTGAGATTGGTCCACAATGCTGTAGGAGGGAGTGAGAAGGAACAGATGGAAATTAGTCCACACTGCTGTAGTAGGTAGCGAGATGGAACAGATGGAGATTAGTCCACACTGCTGTAGGAGGGAGCGAGATGGAACAGATGGAGATTAGTCCACACTGCTGTAGGAGGGAGCGAGATGAAACAGATGGAGATCAGTCCACACACTCTCTGCTGTAGTAGGTAGCAAGATGGAACAGATGGAGATCAGTCCACACACTCTCTGCTGGAGTAGGTAGCGAGATGGAACAGATGGAAATCAGTCCACACTGCTGTCGTTGGTAGCGAGATGGAACAGATGGAGATTAGTCCACACTGCTGTAGTAGGTAGCGAGATGGAACAGATGGAGATCAGTCCACACTAGCTGTAGTTGGTAGCGAGATGGAACAGATGGAGATTAGTCCACCTTGGTAGCGAGATGGAACAGATGGAGATTAGTCCACACTGCTGTAGTAGGGAGCGAGATGGAACAGATGGAGATCAGTCCACACTAGCTGTAGTTGGTAGCGAGATGGAACAGATGGAGATCAGTCCACACTGCTGTAGTAGGTAGCAAGATGGAACAGATGGAGTTTAGTCCACACACTCTCTGCTGTAGGAGGGAGCGAGATGGAACAGATGGAGATCAGTCCACACTGCTGTAGTAGGTAGCGAGATGGAACAGATGGAGATTAGTCCACACTGCTGTAGTTGGTAGCGAGATGGAACAGATGGAGATTAGTCCACACACACTGCTGTAGTAGGTAGCGAGATGGAACAGATGGAGATTAGTCCACACTGCTGTAGTAGGTAGCGAGATGGAACAGATGGAGATCAGTCCACACTGCTGTACTTGGTAGCGAGATGGAACAGATGGAGATTAGTCCACACTGCTGTAGTAGGGAGCGAGATGGAACAGATGGAGATCAGTCCACACTAGCTGTAGTAGGTAGCGAGATGGAACAGATGGAGATCAGTCCACACTAGCTGTAGTTGGTAGCGAGATGGAACAGATGGAGATCAGTCCACACTAGCTGTAGTTGGTAGCGAGATGGAACAGATGGAGATCAGTCCACACTGCTGTAGTTGGTAGCGAGATGGAACAGATGGAGATCAGTCCACACTAGCTGTAGTTGGTAGCGAGATGGAACAGATGGAGATTAGTCCACACTAGCTGTAGTTGGTAGCGAGATGGAACAGATGGAAATTAGTCCACACTGCTGTAGTTGGTAGCGAGATCGAACAGATGGAGATCAGTCCACACACACTGCTGTAGTAGGTAGCGAGATGGAACAGATGGAGATTAGTCCACACACACTGCTGTAGTTGGTAGCAAGATGGAACAGATGGAGATCAGTCCACACTAGCTGTAGTTGGTAGCGAGATGGAACAGATGGAGATTAGTCCACACTGCTGTAGTAGGTAGCGAGATGGAACAGATGGAGATCAGTCCACACTAGCTGTAGTTGGTGGCGAGATGGAACAGATGGAGATTAGTCCACACTGCTGTAGTAGGTAGCGAGATGGAACAGATGGAGATTAGTCCACACTGCTGTAGTTGGTAGCGAGATGGAACAGATGGAAATCAGTCCACACTAGCTGTAGTTGGTAGCGAGATGGAACAGATGGAGATTAGTCGACACTAGCTGTAGTTGGTAGCGAGATGGAACAGATGGAGATTAGTCCACACTGCTGTAGTTGGTAGTGAGATGAAACAGATGGAGATTAGTCCACACTGCTGTAGTTGGTAGCGAGATGGAACAGATGGAGATTAGTCCACACTGCTGTAGTTGGTAGCGAGATGGAACAGATGGAGATTAGTCCACACTGCTGTAGTTGGTAGCGAGATGGAACAGATGGAGATCAGTCCACACACACTGCTGTAGTTGGTAGCGAGATGGAACAGATGGAGATCAGTCCACACTGCTGTAGTTGGTAACGAGATGGAACAGATGGAGATTAGTCCACACTGCTGTAGTTGGTAGCGAGATGGAACAGATGGAGATTAGTCCACACTGCTGTGGGAGGGAGCGAGATGGAACAGATGGAGATCAGTCCACACTAGCTGTAGTTGGTAGCGAGATGGAACAGATGGAGATTAGTCCACACTGCTGTAGTAGGTAGCGAGATGGAACAGATGGAGATCAGTCCACACTAGCTGTAGTTGGTGGCGAGATGGAACAGATGGAGATTAGTCCACACTGCTGTAGTAGGTAGCGAGATGGAACAGATGGAGATTAGTCCACACTAGCTGTAGTTGGTAGCGAGATGGAACAGATGGAGATTAGTCCACACTGCTGTAGTAGGTAGCGAGATGGAACAGATGGAGATCAGTCCACACTGCTGTAGTTGGTAGCGAGATGGAACAGATGGAGATTAGTCCACACTGCTGTAGTTGGTAGCGAGATGGAACAGATGGAGATCAGTCCACACTGCTGTAGTAGGTAGCGAGATGGAACAGATGGAGATCATTCCACACTAGCTGTAGTTGGTAGCGAGATGGAACAGATGGAGATTAGTCCACACTGCTGTAGTAGGTAGCGAGATGGAACAGATGGAGATCAGTCCACACTAGCTGTACTTGGTAGCGAGATGGAACAGATGGAGATTAGACCACACTGCTGTAGTTGGTAGCGACATGGAACAGATGGAGATCAGTCCACACTAGCTGTAGTTGGTAGCGAGATGGAACAGATGGAGATCAGTCCACACACACTGCTGTAGTTGGTAGCGAGATGGAACAGATGGAGATCAGTCCACACTAGCTGTAGTAGGTAGCGAGATGGAACAGATGGAGATTAGTCCACACTGCTGTAGTTGGTAGCGAGATGGAACAGATGGAGATCAGTCCACACTGCTGTAGTTGGTAGCGAGATGGAACAGATGGAGATCAGTCCACACTCTCTCTGCTGTAGTAGGTAGCGAGATGGAACAGATGGAGATCAGTCCACACTGCTGTAGTAGGTAGCGAGATGGAACAGATGGAGATCAGTCCACACACTCTCTGCTGTAGTAGGTAGCGAGATGGAACAGATGGAGATCAGTCCACACTAGCTGTAGTTGGTAGCGAGATGGAACAGATGGAGATCAGTCCACACACACTGCTGTAGTTGGTAGCGAGATGGAACAGATGGAGATTAGACCACGCACCGTAGATCCAGTTGATGCCAATGAGCTCCAGGATGGCGGCAACGAGCAGAGCCCAGCCACTGCAGAAGTGGTCGATCAGATTCACCCAGTAGATACCAGCCTGCAGCGGGGGGGAGGCAGACACAGACAAAGGTCCCCCGTGTAGCCTGCAGCAGAGCTGCTGGGGCAAGTCCTCTCAGCGAGTAACTATTCAGGGGCCGTGCGCTGTGGCCAGCACCACGCACGGCCGCCTTTGTCTCTCCCACCCCCCCCCCCCCCCCCGCAATGGCGATGTCGACTACACCACCGCTACAGGGATAGTCGCTGGAGTTGGTAGCGGGGGGCGAGTGGCGAGGGGCGGCGAGGCGAGTAGCTCACTTGAGTGGTGCAGGTGAGACCCAGGAGGAAGAGGAGGATGCAGAGTGTGAAGAGGAGTTGGAGCCGCCGCTTCCCAAACAATTTTGGGAACTCGTCCAGCAGAGCGGTGGTCACCGTCTCTGGAGTCGTGAGGGCGACAGGGCCACTGTGAGCCTCCCACGGGAGAGAGACACACAGAGAGTGACAGAGAGACACACACACACAGACAGAGAGAGAGAGACAGAGAGACACAGACAGAGAGACACACACACAGACAGAGAGAGACACACAGAGAGACAGAGAGACACACAGAGAGAGAGAGAGACACACACAGAGAGACACACACACACAGACAGACAGAGAGAGAGACAGAGAGACACACACACACAGACACAGACAGAGAGAGACACACACACAGACAGAGAGAGACACACACACAGACAGAGAGAGAGAGAGAGACAGAGAGACACACACACAGAGAGAGAGACACACACACAGACAGAGACACACACACACAGACAGACAGAGAGAGAGACAGAGAGACACAGAGAGACACACACACAGACAGAGAGACACACACACACAGGCACAGACAGAGAGACACACACACAGACAGAGAGACACACACAGACACAGAGAGACACACAGACAGACAGACACACAGACAGACAGAGAGACACACAGACAGAGAGACACACACAGACAGACAGAGAGACACACAGACAGAGAGACACACACACAGACACAGACAGAGAGACACACAAACAGAGACACACACACGCAGACAGAGAGACGCACACACGCAGACAGAGAAACACACACACGCAGGCAGAGAGACACACACACAGACAGAGAAACACACACACAGACAGAGAGACACACACACAGACAGACACACACACAGACACAGAGACACAAACACACACACAGAGACACACACACACAGACACCCACACACAACAACAACCGCCATTCGCCACCAAGTTGGCGTTGACGTCACCCCGACGCTTGTGCCAGGCCATGTGCACCTTGAGGCCACGTGAAGTGTCGAACGCCCACTGGCAGGAGGTCACGGGGCAGACCCAAGTGCCACGGGTCGACTGACTGAGATGACTGAGACGACTGGCTGATGCACCACCTGTGCCCCCTACTGCGCCAACCTGCTGTGCTTTAGCCACCCGGCGCCCCGCTCGTTGTTGTGAGCGTCGGCTCCTCCGCCCTCCGTTGTTATTGGAGGGCGACTGCCTCCAACTCACCAGCAGCGTCCTTCACGAGCCTCCTCCACAGAGGCCGATCTTGACACCGCTGGTACCAGTCATCGGCAAGTCCACTCAGCTCCACGTCCTCCTGTACCACATCACTCCATCTCTTCTCTAGCCCGTGCCGCGCCCGCTTACCCCCCTCAATCCAGCCGAACAAAAGCTGTTTCGGCATGCGGTGGCTGGGCATGCGGGCTACATGACCCAGCCATCGCAGCCTTCCCCGCCGGAGGAGCTCACCGATGGGACCTTGCCCAGATCTTTCAAGGATTTGTGAGCTCCTCACACAATCCAGTCTGATTAAGCCCAGGATGGATCGTAGGCAGGCCAGCCTAAATGTTTCTAACCGGCGAAGATGTTCCATTAGGGGGGTTCACATTTCGCAAGCGTAGAGAAGGAGGGAATGACCGTTGGCGAGAAGACCTGAAGCTTAGTGCGGAGCGACAGACCAGGTAGCTTCCACACAGCGTTACGCAACCGATGAAAAGATATTGCCGCTTGACTGATTCGGAGTGAGACCTCTGCTGTTAAACTGGAGCCGGTCATAAGCACACTGCCCAGGTATGGGAAACTCTCCACTCTCTCCACAACAGCCCCATCACCGATTGGGAGTTGTGGGGATGGAGTGTCCGATGGTACAAAATACCCAGGCAGGTGCTTAGTTTTGGTGGGGCTGATGGTAAGGCCCCACCTCTTAGTGGCACGCTCCAGTCTCAGCAGCAGCGTCTCCAACTCCTCCTCTGAATGAGCAGCTATTACCAAATCATCAGCATACATAACGTGGTTGAGCAATAGGGAGCCATCCCTTGACCACACCCGGACATCGATCAGCCTCCCATTATATCTGTACCATATGGAGATTCCCCTGGTACAGCTATTGAAGGATTCACGAACTACGTCGTCAAAATAGATGTTAAATAATGTGGGAGCCAGAGGACATCCCTGTCGCACCCCAAGGTGTACAGGGAATGGCTCTGACTCCCGGCCACATAGTTTTACCCGGGCCCGCTCACCATCATGAATGTCCTTAATGATCGTGAGCAGAGGGTCAGGTACTCCAAAAGCACGAAGAACAACCCAGAGCCCAGGCCTACTGATGGTATCATAGGCCTTGACCAGGTCAATAAAGCAGAGATGTAGGTCTTGTTGGAATTCCCTACACCTTTGGTGTAGCAGACGGACAGAAAATATGGCATCTGTGCAGGACCGCCATTTCCTGAAACCGCATTGGGGCTCCGCAAGCCTCTCCTCAGCGTGCCTGGCAAGGCAATGTTGAATAATCCTTGCCAGGACCTTTCCCGGCACACTGAGGAGTGAGACGCCCCTGTAGTTGTTACAGTCTATGCGGTCCCCCTTCTTAAAAAGGGGGACCACCAGGGCATCCTTCCAATCCTGCGGAACCCGTCCAGTGGTCCCGACTGTTGTTATGATGTCATATAGGGCAGTTTGTGCACAAACGCCGCCCTCCCTCAGCATTTCACTTGGGAGATCGTCTCTGCCCGCTGCCTTTCCTGGTCTCATACTCCGGATCGCCTTCAGTACTTCCTCAACAGATGGCACCTCAGCCAGCCACTCACAGGGGGTGACTTCTTTCAATTTTTGAGGCACTGCAGCCTCTGCAGGGTCATCCTCACTTTGTGCCACGATGTTTTCCAGGCTGAGGGATTCCTTCTCCCCCAGGACCTCACAGAAATGCACAGAAAATCTATAAACCTGTTCCTGGGGTTCTGAGATTGGATCACCATTCTTTCCCCTATTGATGGTAATAGGTGTGGTGTTGCAAGTTACCTTTTTTATGGAGATCATGAGCGATTTGTGATCGCGGGCCACTGAGGCAGACTCCATATTCTCAGCAACCTTCGACCACCAACCATCCTAGCAGCACCTCATGGCTCTCCAAACCTCTGATCGAAGGCTGTGGTAAGCCTCCTCATTCTCTGATGTGGGATGCTGTAGATGATGAGAGTGGGCCTGTCGCTTTTTCTCAGCCAGCCTGAACACCTCCTCTGTCAGCCAGGGTCTCTGGGGAGGTCTTGACGGGGCAGCTGCATGAGCCACAGTCCTAAACCTCGCCAATTTCCCTTCGACATCAGGAGGAGTGGGGGACGATGAAACCCCAGCCGAAAGTGATGATGAAATTTTCGCTTTCGACTTTCATGAGCTAGCTGAGACCATGCCACTTTTGGTTTGAACGGGGTCCTGGGTGTACACCCACCACCGGAGTGGAAGAATGGCAGGCGCATTTTACAGATGAGAAGTGGATGGTCAGTGGGCAGATCAGCTCCATGGTAGGTCCTGGTGTCAAGGACTTGGGCCCGTATCTGCTGTTCCGTCACTATGTAGTCCAGCAGATGTTCTTGCTTGGATCCGGCATGCATCCATGATGTCGTGTGGATGCGCCGATGCCAGAACAGCGTGTTGGTAATTACAAGCCCATGGGCTGCACAAAAATCTAGCAGCCTCCTACCGTTGTTATTGAGCTGATCTGGCCCATGTTTTCCAAACACTCCAGACCAGGTGCCAGCATCATGACCAACTCGGGCATTGAAGTCACCCAACAAGATGACTCTATCCCGAGGGGCCACTTTAGCCAGCACTTATGACAGGAGGTCATAGAAGGCATCTGACTCATCGGCCTTGCCTGTATCCCTCCATGGATGTTCGTCTTCAGTGGGGGCATAAGTAACCACAACCACCGCTCCTTGCTTTTGGTTGAAGGGAACTCGAGCCCAAAGTAGTCTAGGGCTTACAGCTTCCCACACCTCACCATCACGCTCCCACACCCCCTTCATTATTTTGTTCAGAAGAAGAACCACTCCCTGTTGTTTGGCAGTCTCCTGCTCTGGGTAGAGGACTGTCCACCCCTAATGGTGGCAGGAGCCAGAGCCGGTCTACCAGAGCTCATGATTACCACAGAGATCCAGGCGGTACCGGTCCACCTCCCGACAGAGGAGTAGCAGCCTCTTCTCCGCGGTGAGCATTCTAACATTCTACGTCGCCTTCTGTAAAGGCTTTTTGTTGCTTCTAGAGGAGCCCCGAGTGTAAGTATTCAGTTTCCTGGCTCCGCCAAATGGGGTTTGGCCAGGAGACGTCATAGACGCCTGTCCCGCCGGGGTCTCCGGCACAAGCGTAATACATTTTATCGTAGTTTGGTAGTAGTTAATTGAAGGTGGAGGGGTTTCCAGCCCCTCGCACAAAACCAGAGCCCCCATTTGCCCGCTGTGGTGGTTACAGAGGCCATGAAGGGAAAGGCCAATCTAAATTGGCCCTCCCCCCATGGCACTGCCCACCACAGCGTTGCCGTCCAGCCCCGCAAGGCAGAGATACACAAGATAAAAACAAAGATCCCCCATATAGCCTTAACAGACTGTAAGGTCAAGTGCTGTTAGCGAGCACCTTTGAAGGCTGGAACGGTACACGAGGGGGTGGGTGGCCAGCACCACGCTCGACCGCCTTTGTCTCCCCAGTGGCGATGTTTACACACCGCACCAGGTACTCATTTGAGGCTGAGTCGACCTAGGGGAGGCTCGGGACCGGTTCAGATAATCGTCACTGGTGTTGGCCGTGAGCGGGAATCGAACCCGGATCGCCAGGTTCATAGCACAACGTGCTAACCGCTACACTACAGCTCCCCACACACAGAGACACACACAGAGACACACACAGAGACACACACAGAGAGAGACACACACAGAGACACACACAGAGACACACACAGAGAGACACATACAGAGAGAGACACAGACACACACACAGAGACACACACAGAGACACACAGAGAGAGACACACACAGAGAGAGACACACAGAGAGAGACACACAGAGACACACACAGAGACACACACAGAGACACACACACAGAGACACAGACACAGAGAGACAGACACACATAGAGACACACACAGAGACACACACACACAGAGACACACACAGAGACACACACAGAGACACACACAGAGAGAAACACACACAGAGAGAGACACACACAGAGAGAGACACCCAGAGAGAGAGACACCCAGAGACACACACAGAAACACACACACACAGAGACACACACAAAGACACACACAGAGAGAGACACACACACAGAGTGAGACACATACAGAGAGAGACACACAGAGACACACAGAGACACACACAGACACAAACACACAGAGACACACACAGAGACACAGAGACACACACAGAGACACACACAGAGAGAGAGACAGACACACACACAGAGACACACACAGAGACACACACAGAGACACAGAGACACACACACACAGACACACACACACACAGAGACAGACACACACAGAGACACACACAGACACACACACAGAGACACACACACACAGAGAGAGAGACACACACAGAGACACACACAGAGAGAGAGAGACCGTAGTGGTGGTGGTGGTGGTACCCACCGAGGATAGTGAACTGGCTGTCCAGGCCCAGCGTGAGCAGCATGAGGAAGAAGAGGATGGACCACAGAGGAGAGATGGGAAGCTGGGCCAGCGCCTCGGGGTATGCAATGAAGGCGAGGGCAAAGCCTACAGCCACATCATCAGCAGCAGCCGCAGCATCAGTAGTAGCAGCATCATCAGTAGTAGCAGCATCATGAGTAGTAGCATCATCATCAGTCGTAGTAGCATTACCATCATCATCATCAGTCGTAGCATCATCATTATCGTCAGTAGCAGTATCATAATCAGCAGCATCATCAGCAGCAGCAGCATCATCATCATTAGCAGTATCATCATCATCATCAGGCTCAGTGCTTCTGAGAGGGCCACCGTGAAAGCTGAATCGCCCACAACCCTCCACCTCCGACCACATTCATCGCAATCACAATCATCAACAACATTGATTCCAATGAGCTACACAGCTCTTTGTTGTTGTTGTTGTCGTCCAGAGACCAGCTCGCACCAACAACAACCGGCAATCGCCACTTAGGTGGCGGTGACTTCACCCACGGCACCTGTGCCAGACTAGGTGCACGTTAAGGCCACGTGAAGTGTCGAACGCCCGCTGGCAGGAGGTCACGGGGCAGACCCAGGTGCCGCGGGTCGACTGACTGAGATGAGTGGCCGATGCACCACCTGTGCCCCCTACTGTGGCAACTTGCTGTGCTTTAGCCACACGGCACTCTGCTCGTTGTTGTGATCGTCGCTCCTCTGCCTTCCGTTGTTGCTGGAGGGCGACTGCCTCCAACTGCCCAGCAGCATCCTTCACGAGCCTCCTCCACAGAGGCCGATATTGACACCGCTGGTACCAGTCATCGTCAAGTCCACTCAGCTGCACGTCCTCCTGTACCACATCACTCCATCTCTTCTCTAGCCCGTGCCGCGCCCGTTTAGCCCCCTCGATCCGACTGAACAAAAGCTGTTTAGTAATGCAGTGGCTGGGCATGCGGGCTACCTGACCCAGCCAACGCAGCCTTGCCTGCCGGAGGAGCTCACCGATGGGACTTTGTCCAGACCTTTCAAGGATTTGTGAGCTCTTCACACAATCCAGCCTGCAGGTTAAACCCAGGATGGATCGTAGGGAGAACAGCCTAAATGTTTCTAACCGGCAAAGATGTTCCATTACGGGGATCCACGTTTCGAAAGCATAGAGAAGAGAGGGCATGACCGTGGCCGAGAAGACCCGAAGCTTCGCACGGAGCAACATACCAGGTAGCTTCCACACAGCGTTAAGCAGCCGATGAAAAGATAATATCGTTCTACTGATTCGGAGTGAGACCTCTGCTGTCAAACCGGAGCTGATCATGAGCACACTGCCCAGGTATGGGAAACTCTCCACTCTCTCCACAACTGCCCCATTACCAATTGCGAGCTGAGGGGGTGGAGTGTCCGATGGTACAAAATACCCAGCCAGGTGCTTAGTTTTGGTGGGGCTGATAGTAAGGCCCCACCTCTTAGTTGCATGCTCCAGATGCAGCAGCAGCGCCTCCAACTCCTGCTCTGAGTGAGCAGCAATTACCAGATTATCAGCAACCATAACATGGTTGATCAATAGGAAGCCATCCCTTGACTGCACACAGGCATCGATCAGCCTCCCCTTATATCTTTACCAGATGGAGATTCCTACCGTACAGCCATGGTAGGCTTCACGAACTACGTGGTCGAAAAAAATTGTTAAATAATGTGGGAGCCAGAGGACATCCCTGTAGCACCACGAGGTGAACAGGGAATGGCTCCAACTCCCGGCCACGTAGTTTTGCCCGGGCCCGCTCACCATCATGAAGGTCCTTAACGATTGTGAGCAGAGAATTAGCGACTCCAAAAGCAGGATGAACAATCCAGAGCTGAGGACTATTCATGATATCACCGTTAATAAAAGTCAATAAAGCAGAGATGTCGGTCTGTCATGAGTACAGCACACACCGGTTTGCTGTACTAGTGACGAGCTGCCACGTTCTGTTTACGTGACAACCCTTACTAGTTGGCCTTGTCGGGTGGTGGCGGGTTTTCACGACACATTTATATATTTATCCGATCTAACCCAAAAAAACTCCCTTTATTATGGATGTCGGTCCTGTTGGAAGTCCCGACACCTCTGATGTAGCAAACGGATAGAGAATATGGCATCTGTGCAGGACCACCCCGGCCTGAAACCATTTTGGGGCTCCGCAAGCCTCTCCTCAGCGTGCTGCCTTGAAAGTCGATGTTGAATAATCCTTGCCAGGACCTTTCCCAGCACACTGAGGAGGGAGATGCCTCTGCAGTGGTTACAGCCTGTGCGGACCCCTTCTTAAAGAGTGGGACCACCAGGGCATCCTTCCCCTGCTGTGTAACCCGTACAGTGATCCAGACTGTTTTGTGATTTCACGTATGGCAGTCTGCACACAAACACCACCCTCCCTCAGCATTTCGGTTGGGAGATCATCTCTGCCCGGCGCTTTTCCTGGTCTCAAACTCTGGATCGCCTTCCATACTTCCTCAACAGATGGCACCTCAGCCAGCCACTCACAGGGGGTGACTTCTTTCAATATTTGAGGCACCGCAGCCTCAGCAGGGTCATCCCCACTTTGCCCCATGATGTTTTCCAGGCTGAAGGATTTCCCCTCCCCCCAAGACCGCACAGAAATGCTCAACAAATCTGCAAAACCTGCTCCTGGGAGTCTGATATCGGATTACTTTTCTTTTCCATAGGATCGTGATAGATGTTGTGCTGCAAGTTACTTTTTCGATGGAGTTAAAGAGTGATATTTGATCAAGGGCGACTGAGGCAGACTCCATCTCCTCAGCAACCCGCGACTACCACCCATCCTAGCAGCGCCTCACGGCTCTCCGAACCTCCGAGCGAAGGCTGCGGTAAGCCTCCTCATTCTCCGACGTGCAATGCTGTAGCTGATGAGAGTGGGCCTGTCGCTTTTTCTCAGCCAGCCTGAACACCTCATCTGTCAGCCAGGGTCTCTGGGGAGGTCTGGACCGCATTCCCAAAGCAGCCATTGCAGCTGCATGAGTGACAGTCCTAAACCTCGCCCATTTATCCTCGACATCAGGAGGAGTGGGGGACGATGCCAACCCCAGCCGTAAGCTGGGTTCTGGGTGCACACCCACCACTGGAGTGGAAGAATGGCAGGCGCATCTTACAGATGACAACCTCATGGTCAGAGGGCAGATCAGCTCAATGGAAGGTCCTGGTGTCAAGGACATGGGCTCGCATCCGCTGGTCCGTCACTATGTAGTCCAGCAGCTGTTCTTGCTTGAACCCGGAGTGCATCCATGATGTTGTGTGGATGCGCTGATGCCAGAACAGCGTTTTGGTCATTAATACAAGTGCATGGGCTGCACAGAAGTCTAGCAGCCTCCTATCGTTATTGTTGAGCTGATCTTGTCAATGTCTTCCAATCACTCCAGCCCAGTTGCCCGCATCATGACCCACTTGGGCATTAAGGTCACCCAACAGGATAACTATCCCGAGGGGCCCTTTTTGCGAGCATCTGTGACAGGAGGTCATAGAAGGCATCTATCTGACTCATCGGCCTTGCCTGCATCCCTCCACTGATGTTCATCTTCGGTGGTGGGCATAAGTAACCACGACCACCACTTCTCGCTTTTGGTTGAAGGGAAGGCGAGCCCCAAGTAGCCTGGGGATTACAGCTTCCCGCACCTCACCGCCACGCTCCCACCCCCCCTTCGTTCTTTTGTTCAGGAGAAGAGCCACTCCCTGCTGTTTGAAAGTATCCTTCCGAGTATAGGACTGCCCGCCCCTCATAGTGACAGGAGCGAGAGTCGGTCCACCGGACGCCCTGAATACCGCAGAGATCCAGACGGTAATGTTCCCGCTCCCGACGGTTGAGGGGCAGCCTCTCCTTCGCAGTTGAGCATTACGACATTCCACGTGGCCACACGTAGTGGTTTTTTTCCGTTTCCACAGGAACCCCAAGGGAAAGGATTCGGTCTCCTGGCCCCGCCAAATGGGGCTATCCAGGAGACTTCATAGACGCCTATCCCGCCGTGGTTTTGTGGGATATAATTGAAAGTGGAGGGGTTACCAGCCCCTCCCTCTTCTCCCTTTCTCCCTCCTCCCCTTTCCATCCCCCCCCCATCCCGCCCCTCCCCCCATCTCCATCCCTCCTCCGTTCCCCCACTACATCCGTCCCTCTCCATCCCTCTTCATCCCTCCCCTCCCCCCCTCTCCATCCCTCCCCTCCCCCCCTCTCCATCCCTCTCCCCCCTCTCCATCCCTCCCCTCCCTCCCTCTCCATCCCTCCCCTCCCCCCCTCTCCATCCCTCCCCCTCTCTCCATCCCTCCCTCCCTCCCTCTCCATCTCTCCCCTCCCCCCTCTCCATCCCTCCCCCCTCTCTCCATCCCTCCCCTCCCCCCTCTCAATCCCTCCCCTCCTCCCCTCTCAATCCCTCCCCTGACCCCCTCTCCATCCCTCCCCCCCACTCTCCATCCCTCCCTCCCCCTCTCCATTCCTCCCCCCCTCCCCTCCCCCCTCTCCATCCCTCCCTCCCCCTCTCCATCTCTCCCCTCCCCCCCTCCATCCCTCTCCATCCCTCCCCTCGCCCCCTCTTCATCCCTCCCCTCCCCCCTCTCCATCCCTCCCCTGCCCCCTCCCCTCTCCCCTCACCATCCCTCCCCTCCCCCCTCTCCATCCCTCCCTTCCCCCCTCTCCATCCCTCCCCTCCCCCCTCCCTTCCCCCCTCTCCATCCCTCCCTCCCTTTCAATCCCTCTCCATCTCTCCCTTCCTCTCCATCCCTCCCCTCCCTCCCTTCCCCCACCCCCCCCACCCCCCTCAGCCCCCACCCCCTCAGCCCCGCCCCGCCCCGCCCCCCGCCCAACGACGGCCTCACCTGCGTCGGCCACCTGCGACACTTCCCTCCCGGTGGTGTGTGCCATGTGGCCGAGGATGCTGAAGATGACGAATCCGGCGAAGACGCTCGTGGTGCAGTTGGTGACGGTGACGACGAGGGCGTCCTGGAAGCAGTTGTTGTGGAACTTGTTGTAGGACGTGAGGGCGATGAGGCCACCCCACGCCGTGGAGAGCGAGAAGAAAATCTGCGTCGCCGCGTCCTTCCACACCTTGGTGACGACGGTGACGGTGATGGTGACGGGAGCCGTGGTGGTGGTGGGGGTGGTGGGGGTGGAGGTGGGGGGAGGGGATGGAGGGGGGGAGGGGGGAGAGGAGGGGGGGGTAGAGGAGGTGGTAGTCGTCATCGTCGTGGTTACTGATTGTCACTACCACTAGGATGTCAACTGGTCCCCTCCCTTCCCTCTCCTCCCTCCTCCCCCCCTCCCTCCCTCCCCTCCCTCCCTCCATCCCTCCCTCCCCTCCCTCCCCTCCTCTCCCTCCTCCCCCCCCTCCCTCCCCTCCCTCCCTCCCCTCCCTCCCTCCCTCCCCCCCTCCCTCCCTCCCTCCTCTCCTTCCTCCCCCCTCCCTCCTCCGCCCCCTCCTCCCTCCCTACCTCCTTCCCTCCCTCCCTCCCTCCTCTCCCTCCTCCCCCCCATCCCTCCTCCCCCCCCTCCTCTTTCCCTCCCTCCCCTCCCTCCCTCCCTTCCCTCCCTTCCTTTCCTTCTCTCCCCCCTCCCTCCTCCCCCTCCCTCCCTCCCTCCCTCCCTCCCTCCCCCCCATCCCTCCTCCCCCTCCTCCTCTCTCCCCCCCTCCTCCCTCCCTCCATCTCCCTCCCTCCACCTCTCTCCCTCCCTCCCCTCCCTCCCCTCCCTCCCCTCCCTCCCTCCCTCTCTCCCCCCCTCCCCCCTCCTCCCCCCCCCCTCCCCTCCCTCCCCTCCCCTCCCCGCCTGCCCCACCTCCGCCGAGCTCAGCTTGGACAAGTCAGACTGGGCCCCGATGTAGAACTCGATCCCCAGCATGGCGCCCGGGAGCGTGACCCCACGCACCAGAAGGATGAACAGCACCACGTAGGGGAACGTGGCCGTGAAGTAGACCACCTGCAGGCGGGGGGGGGGGAGGGGGCAAAGGTCATGAGGGTCAGGGGTCACCCCCCCCCCCCACACCTCCCACCCCGTCAATGTTAAAGGGCCCCCGTGGCCACGTGGGGGAGGGGGAAAGCGGCCTTCTGGGTTCACACCCGATGGGCGAGCGGGAATGTTGACGACCTCTCCCGGCACACGCGACGTCGGCGCGGGGGCTCGCTTCCGTCTCCATCCCTACCCCTCTCACTCCACATCCCCTCCCTCCCTCCCTCCCCCCTCTCCACCCTCCCTCCCTCCCTCCCTCTCCATCCCTCCCTCCCTCTCTCCTCCCTCTCCACCCTCCCTCTCTCCTCCGTCTCCATCCCTACCCCCCTCACTCTACATCCCTCCCTCCCTCCCCCCTCTCCACCCTCCCTCCCTCCCTTCCTCTCCATCCCTCTCCATCACTCCCTCTCCACCCTCTCCACCGTTTTCCTCCCTCTCCATTCCTCCGTCTCCATCCTCCCCTCTCCATCCCTCCCTCCCCCCTCTCCATCCCTCCCCCCTCTCCATCCCTCCCTCCCCCCTCTCCATCCCTCCCTCCCTCTCCATCCCTACCCCCCCTCCCTCCACCCTCCCTCTCCATCCCTCCCTCCATCCTCCCCTCTCCATCCTCTCCACCCTTCCTCTCCATCCCTCCCTCCCCCCCTCTCCACCCTCCCTCCCTCCCCTCTCTGCACCCTCCCCGCCTCTCCCTCCCTCCCTCTACATCCTCTCCACCCTCCTTCCCCCCCTCTCCATCCCTCCATCCATCATCCCCTCTCCATCCTCTCCACCCTCCTTCCCCCCCTCTCCATCCCACCTCCCTCCCTCATCATCATCACGGTGGCTAGGAGATGTTGACTACCTAGCCTGGTCTACAGGAGGTCCAGGGTTCGATCCCGACCCTGACGATGCCTGCTGCTGCTGTATATTTGGAGTGTGTATCTCTCTCTCTCTCATCATCATTATCACGGTGGCTAGGAGATGTTAACTACCTCGCCTGGTATACAGGAGGTCCAGGGTTCGATGCCGAACTCCTGACACCTGCTGTATATTTGCAGTTTGCGGTGTTTCTCACTCTCTCCATGTGTTCCTGCGGTGGGTTTTCCCCTCCACAATCATAAGCAACGGCCACGCGTTTAGAGCATTTGGCCGCTGTGAATTTCCACGTGGTGCTGCTGCTGATGATGATGATAAGCCACTTCGTGAGGCAATCATTCTGTGATAAGCCAGGGGCGGCTTCTTGATAAAATTTGAGCTGCGTACAAGCAGCACAGTGGTACCTTATAGCTGTTAAAATAGCAGCGAGGCGAGAGAAACGGATGCCGGAAATGTGGCACACACACACAGAGGGCGTGCATGGGTGGCCAGGGGCACGCACGCCGAGGCCCCATAGGCCCATCACACAGAGCCATCGACTACTTGCAGGGATATCCATAGATTAATCGCACATAAACCCATAGACTACTCACACAGAGACCCACGAATTCACACAGAGACGCACAGACTCACACAGAGACCCACAGACACACACAGAGACGCACAGATTCACACATAGATCCATAGACTCGCACAGAGACCCACAGACTCATACAGAGACCCGTAGAGTCACACAGAGATTCGGAGACTCACACAGAGACCCGTAGACTCACACAGAGACCCGTAGACTCACCACACAGAGACCCACAGACTCATCACACAGAGACCCACAGACTCATCACACAGAGACCCACAGACTCACCACACAGAGACCCACAGACTCATCACACAAAGACCCACAGACTCATCACACAGAAACCCATAGACTCACCACACAGAGACCCACAGACTCATCACACAGAGACACACAGACTCACACAGAGACCCGTAGACTCACACAGATCCATAGACTCACACAGAGATCCACAGACTCACATAGAGACGCGTAGACTCACATAGAGACCCGTAGACTCACACAGAGATCCACAGACTCACACAGAGGCCCGTAGACTCACACAGAGACACAGACTCACACAGAGATCCGTAGACTCACACAGATCCATAGACACACACAGAGATCCATATACTCACACAGAGACCTGTAGACTCACACAGAAACCCGTAGACTCACACAGAGACACAGACTCACACAGAGACCCGTAGACTCGCACAGAGACACAGACTCACACAGAGACCCACAGACTCACCCCACAGAGACCCACAGACTCACACAGAGACGCGGAGACTCACACAGAGACACAGACTCACACAGAGATCCGTAGACTCACACAGAGACACAGACTCACACAGAGACCCGTAGACTCAAACAGAGACCCGTAGACTCACACAGAGACCGGTAGAATCACACAGAGACCCGTAGACTCGCACAGAGATCCATAGACTCACACAGAGATCCATGTACTCACACAGAGAGACCCGTTAACTCACACAGAGCCCCGTAGACTCACACAGAGACCCGTAGACTCACACAGAGACCGTAGACTCACACAGAGACCCACAGACTCCTCACACAGAGACCCGTAGACTCGCACAGAGACACAGAATCACACAGAGACCCGTAGACTCACACAGAGACACAGATTCACACAGAGACCCGTAGACTCACACAGAGACCCGTATACTTGCACAGAGACCCGTAGATAATACACAGAGATCCATATACTCACACCGAGACCCGTAGAATCACACAAAGATCCGTTGACTCACACAGAGACCCGTAAACTCACACAGAGACACAGACTCACACAGAGACCCATAGACTCACACAGAGACACAGACTCACACAGAGACCCACAGACTCCTCACACAGAGACCCACAGACTCACACAGAGACCCACAGACTCACACAGAGACCCATAGACTCACACAGAGACACAGACTCACACATAGACCCACAGACTCACACAGAGACACAGACTCACACAGAGACCCACAGACTCCTCACACAGAGACCCACAGACTCACACAGAGACCCACAGACTCACACAGAGACACGTAGAATCACACAGAGACCCGCAGACTCACACAGATCTATAGACTCACACAGAGATCTATATACTCACACAGAAACCGGTAGACTCACACAGAGACCCGTAGACTCACACAGAGACCCGTAGACTCACACAGAGACCCGTAGACTCACACAGAGACTCGTAGACTCACACAGAGACACAGACTCACACAGAGACCCATAGACTCACACAGAGACACAGACTCACACAGAGACCCACAGACTCCTCACACAGAGACCCACAGACTCACACAGAGACCCACAGACTCACACAGAGACACGTAGAATCACACAGAGACCCGCAGACTCACACAGATCTATAGACTCACACAGAGATCTATATACTCACACAGAAACCGGTAGACTCACACAGAGACCCGTAGACTCACACAGAGACCCGTAGACTCGCACAGAGACCCGTAGATAACACACAGAGATCCATATACTCACACAGAGACCCGTAGACTCACACAGAGACCCGTAGATTCACACAGAGACCCACGGACTCACACAGAGACCCATAGACTCACACAGACCCATAGACTCACACAGAGACCCGTAGACTCACACAGAGCCCCGTAGACTCACACAGAGACCCGTAGACTCACACAGAGACCCGTAGACTCACACAGAGACCTGTAGAATCACACAGAGACCTGTAGACTCACACAGAGACCGGTAGACTCACACAGAGACCCATAGACTCACACAGAGACCCGTAGACTCACACAGAGACCCGTAGAATCACACAGAGACCCGTAGACTCACACAGAGACCCGTAGACTCACACAGAGAGACCCGTAGACTCCCCAGGTCCCACTGACCTTGCCAGATGAGCGAATGCCCTTGATGAGGGCGCCCCCGACAATGACCCAGGCGAGGAGCAGGGTGAGGGCGAGGTGCCACACCACGGGGCCCGTCTCGTCCATGGACGGGGAGCGCTGCAGCGCGTACTTACTGTTGGGGGAGACACGCAGAGAGACACGCGGAGTTAGACAGAGAGACACGCGGAGTTACACAGAGAGACACGCGGAGTTATACACAGAGAGACACACGGAGAGACGCGCGGAGTTACACAGAGAGACACGCGGAGTTACACAGAAAGACACGCGGAGTTACACGGAGAGACACGCGGAGTTACACAGAGAGACACGCGGAGTTATACACAGAGAGACACGCGGAGAGACGCGCGGAGTTACACAGAGAGACACGCGGAGTTATACACAGAGAGACACGCGGAGTTACACGGAGAGACACGCGGAGTTACACAGAGAGATACGGAGTGACAAGCGGAGTTACACAGAGAGACACGGAGACACGCGGCGTTACACGGAGAGACACGCGGAGTTACACAGAGAGACACGCGGAGTTACACAGAGACACGCGGAGTTGCACAGAGAGACACGCAGAGTTACAAAGAGAGACACAGAGAGTTACACAGAGAGACACGCGGAGTTATACACAGAGAGACACGCAGAGTTGCACAGAGAGACACAGAGAGACACGCGGAGTTACACAGAGAGACACGCGGAGTTACACAGAGAGACACGTGGAGCTACACAGAGAGACACAGAGAGACACGTGGAGTTACACAGAGAGACACGCCGAGTTACACAGAGAGACACACGGAGTTACACAGAGAGACACGCGGAGTTACACAGAGAGACACGCGGAGTTACACAGAGAGACACGTGGAGTTACACAGAGAGACACGTGGAGTTACACAGAGAGACACAGAGAGACACGCGGAGTTACACAGAGAGACACGCGGAGATACGCAGAGAGACATGCAGAGTTATACAGAGAGACACGTGGAGTTACACAGAGAGACACGCGGAGTTACACAGAGAGACACGCGGAGATACACAGAGAGACACGCGGAGTTACACAGAGACACGCGGAGTTACACAGAGAGACACGGAGACACGCGGAGTTACACAGAGAGACACGCGGAGATACACGGAGAGACACACGGAGTTACACAGAGATACACGCAGAGTTACACAGAGAGACACGCGGAGTTACACAGAGAGACACGGAGACACGCGGAGTTATACAGAGAGACACACGGAGTTACACAGAGTTACACAGAGAGACACGCGGAGATACACAGAGAGACACACGGAGTTACACAGAAAGACACGCGGAGTTACACAGAGAGACACGCAGAGTTACACAGAGAGACACACGGAGTTACACGGAGAGACACGCGGAGTTACACAGAAAGACACAGAGAGACACGCGGAGTTACACAGAGAGACACGCGGAATTACAGAGAGACACGCAGAGAGACACGCGGAGTTAGACAGAGAGACACGCGGAGTTATACACAGAGAGACACGCAGAGAGACACGCGGAGTTAGACAGAGAGACACGCGGAGTTACACAGAGAGACACGCGGAGTTACACGGAGAGACACACGGAGTTACACAGAGAGACACGCGGAGTGACAAGCGGGGTTACACAGAGAGACACGCGGAGACACGCGGAGTTACACAGAGAGACGCGGAGTCACGCGGAGTTAGACAGAGAGACACGCGGAGTTATACAGAGAGACACGCGGAGTGACAAGCGGAGTTACACAGAGAGACACGGAGACACGCGGCGTTACACGGAGAGACACGCGGAGTTACACAGAGACACGCGGAGTTGCACAGAGAGACACGCAGAGTTACAAAGAGAGACACAGAGAGTTACACAGAGAGACACGCGGAGTTACACAGAGACACGCGGAGTTGCACAGAGAGACACGCAGAGTTACAAAGAGAGACACAGAGAGTTACACAGAGAGACACGCGGAGTTATACACAGAGACACAGAGAGACACGCGGAGTTACACAGAGACACGCGGAGTTACACACAGAGACACGCAGAGTTACACAGAGAGACACAGAGAGACACGCGGAGTTACACACAGGGAGACACGCCGAGTTACACAGAGAGACACGTGGAGACACTCAGAGAGACACGCGGAGTTACATAGAGAGACACGCGGAGTTACACAGAGAGACACGCGGAGATACACGGAGAGACACGTGGAGTTACACAGAGAGACACACGGAGTTACACAGAGAGACACACGGAGTTACAGAGAGAGACACGCGGAGTTACACAGAGACACGCAGAGTTACACAGAGAGACACGCCGAGATACACAGAGAGACACGTGGAGACACTCAGAGACACGCGGAGACACTCAGAGACACGTGGAGACATACAGAGACACGTGGATACGCACAGAGAGACAGGCGGAGACACCGGGGTGATGAGCGGTGAGCACTCACTTCCAGTACTGCTCGCTGGGGGATTGGGATGCGTTGTCGCTGTTGGAAGTGTTGCAGCTGACCATGGTGGAGTTGCACTCTGGGGAGGGAGACAGCAGAAGCAGCAGCAGCAGCAGAGACAGAATCAGTAAGCGAGTAAACTGGTTTATATTAGTAAGTGCTTAGTAAGTGTATTCATCTATATGTAGTGACAGCTGGATGTCAGCGTGCTGTAGCTGCAGTACCGGCCCTAGATGACATGGTGTTGTGTGTAGTGACATCACTGGATGTCACCACCCTAGAGGGGCAAGGTGTTGTGTGTAGTGACATCACTGGATGTCACCACCCTAGAGGACACGGTGTGTGTGTAGTGACATCACTGGATGTCACCACCCTAGAGGGGCACGGTGTGTGTGTAGTGACATCACTGGATGTCACCACCCTAGAGGGGCACGGTGTTGTGTGTAGTGACATCACTGGATGTCACCACCCTAGAGGACATGGTGTTGTGTGTAGTGACACCGCTGGATGTCACCACCCTAGAGGACACGGTGTGGGTGTAGTGACATCACTGGATGTCACCACCCTAGAAGGACACGGTGTGTGTGTAGTGACACCGCTGGATGTTACCACCCTAGAGGACACGGTGTGTGTGTAGTGATATCACTGGATGTCACCACCCTAGAGGGCACGGTGTTGTGTGTAGTGACATCACTGGATGTCACCACCCTAGAGGACACGGTGTCTGTGTAGTGACACCACTGGATGTCACCACCCTAGAGGGCAGGGTGTTGTGTGTAGTGACATCGCTGGATGTCACCACCCTAGAGGGACACGGTGTTGTGTGTAGTGACATCACTGGATGTCACCACCCTAGAGGGACACGGTGTGTGTGTAGTGACATCACTGGATGTCACCACCCTAGAGGACACGGTGTGTTGTGTGTAGTGACATCACTGGATGTCACCACCCTAGAGGACACGGTGTTGTGTGTAGTGACATCACTGGATGTCACCACCCTAGAAGGACACGGTGTGTGTGTAGTGACATCACTGGATGTCACCACCCTAGAGGACACGGTGTTGTGTGTAGTGACATCACTGGATGTCACCACCCTAGAGGACACGGTGTTGTGTGTAGTGACATCACTGGATGTCACCACCCTAGAGGACACGGTGTTGTGTGTAGTGACATCACTGGATGTCACCACCCTAGAGGACACGGTGTGGGTGTAGTGACATCACTGGATGTCACCACCCTAGAGGGGCACGGTGTTGTGTGTAGTGACATCACTGGATGTCACCACCCTAGAGGGGCACGGTGTTGTGTGTAGTGACATCACTGGATGTCACCACCCTAGAGGGCACGGTGTGGGTGTAGTGACATCACTGGATGTCACCACCCTAGAAGGACACGGTGTGTGTGTAGTGACACAGCTGGATGTCAGCACCCTAGAGGGACACGGTGTTGTGTGTAGTGACATCACTGGATGTCACCACCCTAGAGGGACACGGTGTGTGTGTAGTGACATCACTGGATGTCACCACCCTAGAGGGACACGGTGTGTGTGTAGTGACATCACTGGATGTTACCACCCTAGAGGGACACGGTGTGTGTGTAGTGACATCACTGGATGTCACCACCCTAGAGGACACGGTGTGTGTGTAGTGACATCACTGGATGTCACCACCCTAGAGGACACGGTGTTGTGTGTAGTGACATCACTGGATGTCACCACCCTAGAGGGACACGGTGTTGTGTGTAGTGACATCACTGGATGTCACCACCCTAGAGGGACACGGTGTTGTGTGGAGTGACCTCACTGGATGTCACCACCCTAGAGGGACACGGTGTTGTGTGTAGTGACATCACTGGATGTCACCACCCTAGAGGGACACGGTGTTGTGTGTAGTGACATCGCTGGATGTCACCACCCTAGAGGACACGGTGTTGTGTGTAGTGACATCACTGGATGTCACCACCCTAGAGGACACGGTGTGGGTGTAGTGACATCACTGGATGTCACCACCCCTAGAGGACACGGTGTGTGTGTAGTGACATCACTGGATGTCACCACCCTAGAGGGGCACGGTGTTGTGTGTAGTGACATCACTGGATGTCACCACTCTAGAGGACATGGTGTTGTGTGTAGTGACATCACTGGATGTCACCACCCTAGAGGACACGGTGTGTGTGTAGTGACACCGCTGGATGTCACCACCCTAGAGGGGCACGGTGTTGTGTGTAGTGACATCACTGGATGTCACCAACTCTAGAGGACATGGTGTTGTGTGTAGTGACATCACTGGATGTCACCACCCTAGAGGACACGGTGTCTGTGTAGTGACATCACTGGATGTCACCACCCTAGAGGACACGGTGTGTGTGTAGTGACATCACTGGATGTCACCACCCTAGAGGGACACGGTGTTGTGTGTAGTGACATCACTGGATGTCACCACCCTAGAGGACACGGTGTGTGTGTAGTGACATCACTGGATGTCACCACCCTAGAGGGACACGGTGTTGTGTGTAGTGACATCACTGGATGTCACCACCCTAGAGGACACGGTGTGTGTGTAGTGACATCTCTGGATGTCACCACCCTAGAGGACACGGTGTGTGTGTAGTGACATCACTGGATGTCACCACCCTAGAGGGACACGGTGTTGTGTGTAGTGACATCACTGGATGTCACCACCCTAGAGGGACACGGTGTGTGTGTAGTGACATCACTGGATGTCACCACCCTAGAGGGACACGGTGTGTGTGTAGTGACATCACTGGATGTCACCACCCTAGAGGGACACGGTGTTGTGTGTAGTGACATCACTGGATGTCACCACCCTAGAGGGACACGGTGTTGTGTGTAGTGACACAGCTGGATGTCAGCACCCTAGAGGGACACGGTGTTGTGTGTAGTGACATCACTGGATGTCACCACCCTAGAGGGACACGGTGTGTGTGTAGTGACATCACTGGATGTCACCACCCTAGAGGGACACGGTGTTGTGTGTAGTGACATCACTGGATGTCACCACCCTAGAGGGACACGGTGTTGTGTGTAGTGACATCAGCTGGATGTCAGCACCCTAGAGGGACACGGTGTTGTGTGTAGTGACATCACTGGATGTCACCACCCTAGAGGGACACGGTGTGTGTGTAGTGACACTCGCTGGATGTCACCACCCTAGAGGGACACGGTGTTGTGTGTAGTGACACCGCTGGATGTCACCACCCTAGAGGGACACGGTGCGTTGTGTGTAGTGACATCACTGGATGTCAGCACCCTAGAGGGACACGGTGTGTGTGTAGTGACATCACTGGATGTCACCACCCTAGAGGGACACGGTGTGTGTGTAGTGACACCGCTGGATGTCAGCACCCTAGAGGGACACGGTGTTGTGTGTAGTGACATCACTGGATGTCACCACCCTAGAGGGACACGGTGTGTGTGTAGTGACATCACTGGATGTCACCACCCTAGAGGGACACGGTGTGTGTGTAGTGACATCACTGGATGTTACCACCCTAGAGGGACACGGTGTGTGTGTAGTGACATCACTGGATGTCACCACCCTAGAGGACACGGTGTGTGTGTAGTGACATCACTGGATGTCACCACCCTAGAGGACACGGTGTTGTGTGTAGTGACATCACTGGATGTCACCACCCTAGAGGGACACGGTGTTGTGTGTAGTGACATCACTGGATGTCACCACCCTAGAGGGACACGGTGTTGTGTGTAGTGACATCACTGGATGTCACCACCCTAGAGGGACACGGTGTTGTGTGTAGTGACATCACTGGATGTCACCACCCTAGAGGGACACGGTGTTGTGTGTAGTGACATCGCTGGATGTCACCACCCTAGAGGACACGGTGTTGTGTGTAGTGACATCACTGAATGTCACCACCCTAGAGGACACGGTGTGGGTGTAGTGACATCACTGGATGTCACCACCCTAGAGGACACGGTGTGTGTGTAGTGACATCACTGGATGTCACCACCCTAGAGGGGCACGGTGTTGTGTGTAGTGACATCACTGGATGTCACCACTCTAGAGGACATGGTGTTGTGTGTAGTGACATCACTGGATGTCACCACCCTAGAGGACACGGTGTGTGTGTAGTGACACCGCTGGATGTCACCACCCTAGAGGGGCACGGTGTTGTGTGTAGTGACATCACTGGATGTCACCACTCTAGAGGACATGGTGTTGTGTGTAGTGACATCACTGGATGTCACCACCCTAGAGGACACGGTGTCTGTGTAGTGACATCACTGGATGTCACCACCCTAGAGGACACGGTGTGTGTGTAGTGACATCACTGGATGTCACCACCCTAGAGGGACACGGTGTTGTGTGTAGTGACATCACTGGATGTCACCACCCTAGAGGACACGGTGTGTGTGTAGTGACATCACTGGATGTCACCACCCTAGAGGGACACGGTGTTGTGTGTAGTGACATCACTGGATGTCACCACCCTAGAGGACACGGTGTGTGTGTAGTGACATCACTGGATGTCACCACCCTAGAGGACACGGTGTGTGTGTAGTGACATCACTGGATGTCACCACCCTAGAGGGACACGGTGTTGTGTGTAGTGACATCACTGGATGTCACCACCCTAGAGGGACACGGTGTGTGTGTAGTGACATCACTGGATGTCACCACCCTAGAGGGACACGGTGTGTGTGTAGTGACATCACTGGATGTCACCACCCTAGAGGGACACGGTGTTGTGTGTAGTGACATCACTGGATGTCACCACCCTAGAGGGACACGGTGTTGTGTGTAGTGACACAGCTGGATGTCAGCACCCTAGAGGGACACGGTGTTGTGTGTAGTGACATCACTGGATGTCACCACCCTAGAGGGACACGGTGTGTGTGTAGTGACATCACTGGATGTCACCACCCTAGAGGGACACGGTGTTGTGTGTAGTGACATCACTGGATGTCACCACCCTAGAGGGACACGGTGTTGTGTGTAGTGACACAGCTGGATGTCAGCACCCTAGAGGGACACGGTGTTGTGTGTAGTGACATCACTGGATGTCACCACCCTAGAGGGACACGGTGTGTGTGTAGTGACACCGCTGGATGTCACCACCCTAGAGGGACACGGTGTGTGTGTAGTGACACCGCTGGATGTCACCACCCTAGAGGGACACGGTGCGTTGTGTGTAGTGACATCACTGGATGTCAGCACCCTAGAGGGACACGGTGTGTGTGTAGTGACATCACTGGATGTCACCACCCTAGAGGGACACGGTGTGTGTGTAGTGACATCACTGGATGTCACCACCCTAGAGGGACACGGTGTTGTGTGTAGTGACATCGCTGGATGTCACCACCCTAGAGGGACACGGTGTTGTGTGTAGTGACATCACTGGATGTCACCACCCTAGAGGGACACGGTGTTGTGTGTAGTGACATCGCTGGATGTCACCACCCTAGAGGGACACGGTGTTGTGTGTAGTGACATCACTGGATGTCACCACCCTAGAGGGCACGGTGTTGTGTGTAGTGACATCACTGGATGTCACCACCCTAGAGGACACGGTGTGTGTGTAGTGACACCACTGGATGTCACCACCCTAGAGGACACGGTGTTGTGTGTAGTGACATCGCTGGATGTCACCACCCTAGAGGACACGGTGTGTGTGTAGTGACATCACTGGATGTCACCACCCTAGAGGGGCAAGGTGTTGTGTGTAGTGACATCACTGGATGTCACCACCCTAGAGGGACACGGTGTTGTGTGTAGTGACATCACTGGATGTCACCACCCTAGAGGGACACGGTGTTGTGTGTAGTGACATCACTGGATGTCACCACCCTAGAGGGGCACGGTGTTGTGTGTAGTGACATCACTGGATGTCAGCACCCTAGAGGGACACGGTGTGTGTAGTAGTGACATCACTGGATGTCACCACCCTAGAGGGGCACGGTGTTGTGTGTAGTGACATCACTGGATGTCACCACCCCTAGAGGACACGGTGTTGTGTGTAGTGACATCACTGGATGTCACCACCCTAGAGGGGGGCTCGGAGGGGCACGTGATTGGGACCCAGGTTCGTCCAGGGGAAGGAACCCCTTCGTCTTCTCCTCTCCGTCCTGCGAGTCTTCCAGCACGCGGACCCGGGGCAGTACGTTGTCGATTGTTGGTCCCGGTTCCGGAGTTAATGGTGACCCAGTAACCGGTGAAGTTAACGGGGGAAGGTCAACCCCGTTGTGTTGGAACTAAATGGTTAGCGCTGCGTCCGAGCCTAAGAGTGCGAGGCAGTTGAACCCGCCACATTTATATATATATTACCACGTGCTAATACGTAAGTAAATATATTGCTGAGTGTGTTACGTGGTTCAGAAGTGCATTGATATTAGTGCGTATCTTACTAAGTACGTTACTAAGTAAGCGAGTATATGAATTGATCGCACGTGATATTTTAATTAATATATAGCTACAATATGAATTGAATTGGTTGATTAATATATCATGAATACTAATATTTTAGTAATATATAATTGCTATTGATTGTTAATTAATGTATAAGAAATTTCAATCGAATTTTGATTGAAAGCTTTCGTTACTGCAGGGATTCATATTCTTTGTTCTTTTGGTAAAGTCACCACGTAGAAGGAAACAATAAAATAATAAAAATATATTATTATAAATATCAGTCGGTTATTCATTCATAATATAAATAATATAAAGGGATTCATATTCTTGGTTCTTTCGGTAAAGTCACGTAGAAGGGAAACAATAAAATAATAAAAATATTATTATAAACATCAGTCGGTCATCCATTCATAATATAAATAATATAAAGGGATTCATATTCTTGGTCCTTTCGGTAAAGTCACGTAGAAGGGAAACAATACAATTTTTCGATTTAAAGCTTTCGTGACTGCAGGGATTCATCTTAACGAAATAAAATAACCTTACGTTTCATTGCCATTATTGTATTTCCATTCCACGTGACTTCACCGAAAGAACCAAGAAGAAAAATATCATTATTATCATTATTCTAAATATCAACCGGTTATTCATTCGCGATATAAATATCGATCGGTCATTCATTCGTGAATTCGCACGTTTTGCGGCGGACGTCACTGCATGGTGCCTTTCGATGCCTTTCTCTACATCGTGGAAACAGCACCGCGTGGGTAGGCTGTGTGTGTAGCAGCCAGCCCCTAGCGGGACTTGGCAAGGCGCGCCGGTATCGTGCAGGATACCACGCACTGCGCGTATGGTTCGAGCTACCACGAGAAGTGGGGGGGGGAGAGAGAGAGAGAGTCAGGCTAGAGGCCGTGGCACTCTGGCTGACCCCGTAGGCACGTGATCACAACCATCTCCCCCTCCATCTGCCCCTCCATCACCCACCCATCACCCACCACCCACCCAAACCATCTCACTTGCACGCGCGAAGCAACGATCGTCGGCTCCCCACCAGTCCTGGCACTCCGCCCACGGCAGCTCGGAGGTGAAGCTTGCGAAGAGGTAGAAGAGGCTGTAGGCGATGATGCAGTTGTAGTAGATGCCGACCAGAGCCGAGGTGATCACCATCGTCCAGCCCACGCCTGCAAGCGTCAGGGTCGGAGTGGACGCAGAGGTCTTGAGGTCATCATCATCATTGTCATCGTCATCGTCATCATCACGACGATGATGATGATGATGATGATCATCATCATCATCATCATCATCACAACGATCGTCACCATCGTGACGATCATCATCAGCTTCAGCACGACCATCATCATCATCATAACCATCGCCACCATCATCACCATCATGATCACAATCATCATCACCACCATCATCATCAACGTCATCATCACCATGACCACGACCATCATCACCATCATCACCGTCATCATCACGACCATCACCACCATCATCATCATCATCATAACGATCATCATCATCATCATCACGACCATCATCATCACCATGACCATCATCACCACCAGCAAGATCATCAACACCATCATCATCATCATCTACATTATCATCATGACCATTGTCATCATCACCATCACCATCATAATCACAATCATCATCACCACCACCATCATCATCAACGTCATCATCACCACCACCACGACCATCATCACCATCACCATCATCACCGTCATCATCACCACCATCACAACCATCATCATTATGACGATCATCATCATCACGACCATCATCATCATCTACATTATCATCATGACCAACACCATCATCATCACCATCATCATCATAACCATCGTCATCATCATTACCATAATCACCATCATCACCATCATAATCACTATCATCATCACCACCATCATCATCAACGTCATCATCACCATCACCACGACCATCATCACCATCACCATCATCAACGTCATCATCACCACCATCACCACCATCATCATCACAACGATCATCATCATCATCACCACGACCATCGTCACCACCAGCAAGATCATCAACACCATCATCATCATCTATATTATCATCATGACCAACACCATCATCATAACCATCGTCATCATTATCACCATCATCATAACCATCGTCATCATCACCATCACCATCATCACCATCATAATCACAATAATCATCACCACCATCATCATTAACGTCATCATCACCACCACCACGACCATCAACACCATCATCAACACCATCATCATCATCTACATTATCATCATGACCAACACCATCATCATCACCACCACCATCATCATAACCATCGTCATCATTATCACCGTCATCATCACCATCACCATCATCACCATCATCATCACCACCACCATCACCACCATCATCATCACCACTAATTTAGGGATGTTTCTTGTTGTGTTTGTTGACCTTCCACCCGCCAATTCCGATTATCCAGGGTTGGCTACGTACGGTGCGAAAGAAGTTCAACACTCACTCACCCACTCACCAACTCACTCACCCACTCACCCACTAACTCACCCACTCACTCACTCACCCACTCACCCACTCTCTCACGCTACTCTCTCACTCATCCACTCACTTACCCACTCACTCACCCACCCACTCACTCATTCACCCACCCACTCACTCAACCACCCACTCACTCACTCGCCCACCCACTCACTCACTCACCCACTCACTCACCCACTCACCCGCTCACTCACCCACTCACTCACCCACTCACTCACTCACCCACTCACCCACTCACTCACTCACCCACCCACTCACCCACCCACTCACTCATTCACCCACCCACTCACTCAACCACCCACTCACTCAC